GAGCGTGATGCTGCCTATATTCCTGCATAGTGCCTGTCTTACTGCAAAGGGAGAAGGTTGCTGTAGTCGCATTGCTGGGTTAGATACTGCTATAAAAATTTGGTAATCTTCCTTTGGCTTAGCGAGTGGGTGGTGTGGAGCCCTGGCAGGGGGCATAGGTTGGTTGCGGCCCGTCTTTGAGATTTGGGGGTCTCTAGCCACTTCCGCCCAGGAGCGGCGCCCGGACTCTTGGCTCCTCTGGTCGCTGCGCGCGGTGACGCTGCTCCAGCGGGAGCTTGGGGGGGAGACGCTGAGGGAGAGGGGGGCAGTCAGAGCCTGGATGACCCTTTGCTGCAGCTCCTCTGCAATCTTAGCCTCTCGCGGGTTCGTGTAGCTCTTAGTATGTAGATTAACTGCTGCTGCAAAGGCAGCAGTGATTGTATTCTAGAGCTAGGCAATTTTCTGAGTTTTGTTGATGTGGCGTTGAACAGCATTAAAGGCATAGGGTTTAGGAGCGCCCCTACTAGGGTTTTGGCTACTTAGAGGGGGTGCAGGGTGATGCAAGTCCGCCTGAGGCTGTCTTGAGGCGCGTGTATAGAGCTGCTGGGGGATCACTGGGTCTGGGGACCCTGTGTGGCGAGAAGAGGGTGACTCTGCCATCCTAGTAGGCTCCTCTGCGCGTCAGCGCGGGGGCCTAGGTGGACGTTAGAGGCACGCCTGGAAACGGCGCGGCGAGCTTGTTCAGGTGCTGTGATTTTTAGGGCTCCCAGGAGGGTAACCCAAAAATCGAAAGATTGGTGTTCGGGTGTAGGCTGAAGGGGTGATATATCTGTTGCCTTGAAGGACCTGAGTATCAGCTCTGGAGTAAACGTGTTTGTCCAGGCCTTCCAGAACAGGTGGAAGAAGTCACTCTTCTTGATCACTAATAGGCCCTAGCCACTGTAAAGGTGTGTTGTAAGCTCCTTTGAGTACGCCGTTGACAGAGGCTTAAATATTACTTTGTTAAGCAGCTGCAGCGTGTGAGTTGAATAAGGAGGAAGGATAGCTAGGAGTATCCTGTTCTGATCGCAGTATTTAATAGAGTCTATTATTACATAAGATCTGTGGCTGTCAATAATTAATAGGTGGTACTTTCTTTAAGCTTTAGCCTTGGTGAAGCAATTAAACACCTGTTTAAGCTAAGCTAGGCCTATCTTGTTATTAGTCTAGCCTAAAGGCAACAAAGAAACAAGCACAGAGTGTTCCCCTGGCTTGATTTTATCTACCTAGCTTGATTGGATGGTGTTGTTGGCGGACTTGTAGATGAGGCCTGGGGGCAGAGCTGATCCATCGCCGCACACACATGCTATGAGCGTCAACTAGGCACAATTGCTATCTTGAAGTGATGCTTTGACCTCCTTTTTCTCCTACATACACCTGCTAAATACGTGTTTTATTCTTAAGGTAACCCTAATTATAAAGCCCTTCTTATCTATATTGTACGTGTGCTCAGCGTTAATCTTGTATTCAGCAATCTTGCGTTGTAGTAGGTTGAAGTATAGCTTATATTTAGTATAGGAATCAGCGTTGTGGCGATTGGCGTCTATACCTGTTAAGTATTGAGAGATAAGATGGATAGAGTACTTGTTAATGAAGCAGGTAACCCAGCTCTCGCTCACTGGCTCCTGGGCGACTGCTGACGCGAAATTGGCAATCATCTCTCTTGTAGGAGGTATATGACGAGCAGTAAGCTCTTCTATATATCGTACAAGCTCCTCCTCTTGTTGTAGGGTGAGCTTTTGTTGTGCAAGAACCTTCTCTTTGTGCAGACGCGTCTCACCCCTCCACGTGCGCGTCAACGTTGACTGCACAATACCATGCTTTTCTGCTATTTTAGACTATAGAATAGCATCTTTAGATACAAAAGTATCACACTCTGCAAGCGCTTCTTCTAATCCCATTACGTTGCGTTGTTGTAGAGCTGAGATAATAGAGCTGTTTTAGTGGTTTGGCGCATCACGCGAATCCGTGCATCACGCGCATGGACACAGTACTATGTCCGTGCACCTAACAATTGGAGTTAACCAACAATTAGGGCACAACATTTGCAGTAGATTTCAACGCGTAAAAACTTAACCACTATAACAGGAATTTTAGATACGCTTGCAGAGATTAATAATCTAAAGCTAGGTAACAAACTTGTATATACAAAGCTTGCAGAAAAACACAGTGTTAATTGCAACACGTTGTCCTGTGCACACTAAGGTGTGTAGGCTCCCTAACGCGTTGCTAATAAGAACTAACAGAAACTCAGCAACTAACAGGAATTAGATCTAGTCAAGTATATAGAGGAGCTGTCAGCGCGTCACTTACTACCTACAAGGCGTATAGTACAGAATTTCGCATCCTCTGTTGCCTTACAGCCCTGCTCCAATAGCTGGGTTTAGCGCTTCCTGCACCATCATCAGAATTAGCTTACGTCCTAATAGGCCACTAGCATGGACTCTAATCACCATAACACTAAGTTAGCGTATAATTACAAGTTGTACTTTAAGCTTCTGCAGCAGAAGATTACTTAATATAACATTGCGCTAGAAAACACGTACAATATAGATAAGAAGGGCTTTGCAATTAGAGTGCTGGGTAGAATAAAACAGGTGTTTAGTAAGCATTAATATAAGAAGAAGGAGGTCAGGCAGGCTTGTCAAGATGGCTCGCGTGAGTAGGTGAGCCTCCTAGCTGCGATCTGCGCTAATAGTACTGCTCTTCCACCTAGCATCATCTTTGCGTCAAAAAACTCCACCCTCCAGAGCCGCTGGGTAGTAGAAATCCAGGCAGAAAAGCACTCAACCTATGTTGCCTTATCGCCCTTAGGATAGACAAACAACAATATTAGACTAGCTTAGCTTAAGCAGGTGTTTAACTGTTACTTAAAGCCTAAGGCGCAGTTAAGGTACTACCTCTTAATTATAGATAGCCACAGGAGTTATCTAACGCCAGATTTTATTAATTACTATTACTAGAAACAGATTATATTAGTAGTATTACCTCCTTACAGTACCTAGACTCTGCAGCTATTAGACGTAGTCTGCTTTAAACCTCTCTCCTCTAACTACACCTATAAACTTAACAACCACCTTTAGGTATCTTAAGGCCTTGCGCCACTGTCTAAAGGTGACTTCTATGCCCTGTTCTAGCCTGCCTAGGTGAACACATTTAAAGAAAGCCTTATATTAAAGGCCTTCACAGCTACTAGTATATTGCCTGTAAATCCTGACGTTATACTTAATAGGTTCTGCTACACCACCCCTAACAACTTAGGATTAGTCTCCTCTAGTTCTACAGCTTATTCTGCAGAGAATTAGCTTAAGGCTTATACCACACTTCAGGCAGAGGTGAGGGATTTGCGCAGTGTAGGCGCGCAGAAGCTAGGTTAAACTATCCACTATCTATTATCTTAAGTAGAGTTACTTTAAGTTAAAGTAGATAGCCTGCGTAAGAAGCTATACTAAAACAGGAAGTATAAGAAGCAACCTAACAGGCAACTAGACCTGCAACAACACTAAGAGTATTATAGAGGTGCAATAATGTGGTCTCCTTAGTCCTTCCAGGAGGCGCGCGCTCGCATGGCTGTTGCAGACCATGAGAGGCAAGAGGAGGAGCAAAAAAAGGCAGAGACAAAGGAGCAAGCTGCTGCTAATAAAATCTACAATGAGAAGATAGCAAGAGAAAAGCGTGAGCAGCGGGCAGAGAAGAAAAAAGCAAGAGACTAGGCCAAGGCAAAAGAGCGAGCAGCTATTAATGCTCGCAATGAGCAGAGACGCAAGGATAAGGAAGCTCACGACGCTAAAAAAGCTCTTAAATTATCTTAAAGAGGCAATTACACATCCTTAAAAGCTTCTATAGTTAAACAGAAGCCTCTGCGTTGTGCTGTAGGTGCTTGTAGTTATCCTAAGCCTGCAACACCTCCTCTGCCACGCCTAACTATTATTACCTAGAGTGGCCGCACTGCCACAAAATACTAGTGACTTTGTATTAGGAACTTTGTTGCATAGGTCTATAGAATGCTCTATCAAAATATCTCACAATAATAACTATTGTAGGTGGCTCTACAGCCTTAATTTTGTGATGGCCGTACAGGCTCAGAACGATCGTTGGTTGACTCCGATCGTTGGGTGCACGGACACGGTACCGGTACCCTACCATAATGGGCAGGCCCCATCTGCCCAGATTGAATTTGGATGGCAGCAGTGGCTCACCGCGGATCCTCTTCAGGGCGACACATCAGACCGCGAATAATCTCACAGTCATGTATGTCTCCATCTGCGTACAACTTCCAGCAGCGCTGATGAGTCAAGGTCACACGGTGTGTCGTGGCAATTATAGACATGCTCTTGGAGTCTGTGGCGTTTTCACCGCCAATATTTCACGTCTGACGCTTACAGATGAGAGTCAAGACCAAGATTCGCATCATCGCAGTTTTCGGTTTTCGATTAGGATTTGCACTGTACACTTTATCTTTGAGATAGACTACTGACTAACTGATAGTAGTGTTTTGGGTGTCAGTGCAGTTCATCTGGCTTAGAGCTTTCTTCAGGGACAAAACTATTGGAGTAATCATGCACCCGTCTCGAGAAGAGTACCCTAAAGACGTGTACTGATTTTTGTTACAAGATGTGAAAGAGCGTTTCTGGGACTGGCGGCATTGATTTTAGGTCGTTGTGTTCAAGACGAATACGGCGCGGACAGATACTGCGCGGACAGAATCGCTGGTGCAGCTGATTGGCGAAGGCTGGATCAAGGAGATGCTGTAATGGATCTTTTTCGACAGTGGATCCGTTCATGTTTAAAGAGAACGGTCGAAAGGGGGATGATTCACTGAACTCGATCAAGCAACCTCGTCGCACCGAGCACACGTAACTTTCAAAATGCGTTGCTCCATATTTTTTTCAAATCGCGCTGCCGACACTTCACAGTCCTCATTCCTCGACGATGCCGTGCGGCATCAGAACAGTACTGGACTGGATATCGGTCGGAGTGCTAGGACCTCTACGTCTGCGGTGTCGACCCTGACTGCCAAGACAAAGGTGTTGGCAAGATACTTGCCCAATGGGGTATGTGAGAATCACCAAGAGAGGGCGCAGAAGTCTGTGCAAGTGCACTATGTGGGAGGAAGAATCGTGGCTTCTACGACAAGGCTGGTCTCACCGTGCATGTAGGCAGGAAAGGCCATAGAGGTGGTATCGCTCTATTTACGAGGTCTGAGGTAGCTGTCGTCATTAGTATGGTAAGCGGCTGCCCGACCCCTAACTACATGTACGACCCTAAAAATAGTGTAACGGTTAAGAGGAGAAGCGGATCACGTGTTGCTGGCGGTGGTCTGGTGCTACTTCCTCATGTTATTGAGCACCTCTTACCTCAGCTGCATCACAAGCACGTCATCAGAGAACAACGGAATACACTCGTTTAAATTTTGCCCTTGATACCGCAACAAATAGGCTAGTGATTCGACTAACAATTTCCAAGCGTCCATAGCACTGCCGTTGATACACGCGTTCATCTGGGAGTCTTGGTTGCCCGAGCCATCCGATAGACTTCCCCGCAACACCGAAGCTTAGCTCGACCTCCTGCACCCAAGCTTCAGAATTCAGAGATCCAGGGCCGATAGGCGTCATATTACACTGACATGCGGTGGCAAACAGGCATCCTGCTGGTTAGGCTGAAGATCAACGTTGAATACTCAATGCTGACACTGGCTCCATGCTGACACTGGGCAGATGTATGCCGAGATCTCAGCCACTGGCAACTGCGCTATGAGAACCAAGGCAATCAGATACGGCGGTAGGACATAGCAAAAGCAGGATTCTTTTGCATATATAATCAAGTCACCTTGCCAGCTCTGCATCGGAGCACATCGTCAGCCAACTCTGAACTTGTACTCATCCTCACTATCGCCAATCATGCGTTTATTCCTCAAGACCTCTTTGCTTAGTTTGCTGTTCCAGCAGGCTTCCTTCGTACTCTCTACAGCTATATACGATTCCATTGATGTCGCTGTCATCGGAGCAGGGCTTTCCGGTCTTACAGCCGCGCGAGATCTTCTTGATGCTGGCAAATCGGTCATTGTACTGGAAGCCAGGAACCGCGTTGGCGGCAAAGTCTATGGCAAGCCACTCGCAGATGGTGGTGTCACCGAAGTAGGGGCCGAGTTTGTTGGACCTACTCAGGACAAAGTACTCGGCATGATCTCCGACTTGGGGCTTCAGACCTTCCAAACCTACAGTCAGGGACGGTCTGTCCTGTGGCGTAACGATACACGCCATCTTTTCACTCCAGACCCAGAACTCGGCGGTGCGCCGCTGGTCCATCCATCGTCGCTGGTACAAATTACGAATGCGCAAGCGCAACTAGACGAGTGGGCTGCCGAGCTAAATACGAGTGCCCCTTGGATACACCCACAGGCGGAAAAATGGGACAGTCAAACGTTCGACGCCTTCATCAGCCAGAACGCGAACCACTCCGATGCTCGATTTATGCTTACGACAGCTTGCAAGGCCATCTTCGCCGCCGAACCCAAAGAGCTGTCGCTCTTGTACGTGCTTGCCTACGTCGCCGCTGCAGGAAATGAATCTACGACCGGCACTCTCAGCAGGCTAATTGCGACCAAGGATGGTGCACAGGAGTCGCGTGTTATCGGCGGCACCGGACTCATCCCACAACGTTTGGCCGACGTGGTCGGCTACAACCACATCGTTCTCAACGCTTCCGTCATTAGCGTGTCAAAAAACTGGCAAGGGCTACGATGTGCGCTCACGAGCCGGTACTATCATCGCAAAGAACGTTGTCCTTGCCATGTCTCCTCCACTTCTCCGCCAGATCATCTTCAAGCCCGCTCTGCCTTTGCCTCGCCAGAAACTGAATGAACAAACAAAGATGCCTGCGCTCGGCAAGGGTATCGCAATTTATGAGCCTGCCTTCTGGCGCAGTACCGAGAACCTCAGCGCCCAAGTCAACTCTGATGCTGGATCTGTTCGGGTCACATTCGACAGCACTCCCGACGATGCATCCTTTGGCGCCATCCTGGGCTTCATTCTCGGTGACGAGATTAGAACGATCGATAAGCTCTCAGTCGTAGAAGGGGAGTCCAGGATTATTTCTGACTACGTACGATATTATGGCAAGCAGGCAGCTAATGTGACCGAGTTCGTTCTGTTCCGCTGGGATTTGGAGGAATGGTCGAGGGGTGGTCCTGTTGCAGTCGCACCACCAAGGGTTTTGACAAAGTACGGCAGTGCTCTGCGTCAAAGTGCTGCTGGTCTGCATTTTGCAGGAACAGAGACCAGTGAGTACTGGACAGGGTACATGGATGGCGCTATTCGAAGTGGAGAGAGGGTCGCTCAGGAGATCCTGCGCTCTTCTTGAGCATACTCATCGCATAGAGAATTGGTTTGGAGGCCGGTGAAATTCTTTGTACACTATGCTTGAACAAACACGAGTGATATCCGTGTTGGCGACTGCATCGGCCCTTTGAGAAGTACTAGAACGTTGTCACGTGCACCGGAGCGTAAACTCTTCCGCACTTTGGCACTGCAAAGGTGTCTTAACGCCACAGGTGAAGCAATGCTACTAAACCCCACTGTACGAAGACTGTTGCAAAATGAATGAGAGGTCAGAGAGTATCTCGGCGCTTTGATGGAGCTAGTTCTGGCGGCACGAGTCAACGACATTCCTTATCAGCAGAGTCGTGTTCTGGACCGCTAGCAAGCATTTTTGGTAGCAGCTTTCAGCTCTACAGGATCGGGACCGGGAGACTACGTGCAAATTGGCCACATGTAGACGACTTTGATCACATTTGTCATATAGTGGCACATCGATCAGAAGAGCCATTCTATTTTACGTGCTACCGAAGCAAGGCCACATCGGTTCCGCCTGCTTAACAACCTGCCGTGTGCACCTTAGTATGAGGGAGGCTTGGAAAGCTGCGCGCAGTTGAAATGTGTTGACGCGAATCGCACTCTCATACTAAATCCTGCAGTAAAGTGTTCCTAAAGGACGATCTTTGGCGAGCACTTCAGACCGAGGGGGTACTATAAGTGATCGAATAGTAAACAAACAAGTCTTCAACTTACTCGAATCAACGATGTGCGACACCGCGACGTATACACAAATTGCTAACAAACTTGGTGCAGTAAGCGAGTCACACAAGCAGGCCAGAACTCTTGGCAATCACGTCATTCAGGGGGGGGGGTACCATATTCGAGAATGGCCAAAGGTACCGGGAGAGTCAAATTTAGGGGGTTTTCTAGAGCGAGGGGGTACCATAAATGAGGGGGTGTACTAAATGAGAGTTTACGATATCCCTCCGCTGAGTGCACGCTATCAACAGCGGAATTGCAATTATTAGCTATGAATACCTAAGTATTGGAGCCAAATTGTCTATGGCAACGATGGCGCTGACCTGTCTAACTTTGTGACTTGCTATGCAGACCTACCAAGAACACGATCTCCACATTTCAAACGCTTTAACCCCTTCTTGTCTCTATTGCAGGAAGCGCGGAAATTACGCCATAACAGTACGAGTCCTGCATCGTGCGTGATGATCTCGATCAAATGGAAAAGTGGGCTGGTAATTTCTGTCTTGCACAGGGACAGTACGAAAGCTCAAGAGCCTCGGCCTCTGGAAACAGAGCTTCTATCTCAGGATAGTCTGTACAGTTAGACAGTAAGACTAATGTGCATTCAGAATGTTCAAGATATCGCTCGGCGCTAAAAGCTTGACTTTACATTGGCAAAGCTTGTCAAGCTTCCTCATTTGGAGGAACATCCATATTGCTCGCTAACCACATTGGGCAGGCATCATGCTTCTTACCCCCTCCATCAATGCGTTTGGCTCCAACGATAACGATATCCAAAAAAAGAGTGTTTATAAAATGACCAGTCCAGATTTTGGCTCCTGCAGTATTCTTGCCACTCTTCAACATGCATCTCCTCGCGCTGACTTCGCTGCCTTTGTTAGCAGTTCTGCTGTGTGCCTCCAATGCACGCCCGACGAACAGCGTTGTGCTCGAAAGGATCGAAGAAAGCCCAACTGGGTGGGTTCTGGACCCCTCTGCCGCAATCGATAAAGACAGCACCATTATCACGTTGAAAATCCATCTTGTAAACCAGGGAATGGACAACTTTCACAAACTTGCGCTGGATGTAAGAAAGCCACGCCGCATTGGGAAGCGTATTGTACTGGCAACTAAGTGAATGATCAGATCGCAACCCCGGGTAATCCGCAGTACGGTAACCATCTCGATTACGAGCAGATCGTGTCCATGACGAAGCCAAAAGAGGAATCTGTAAGCCTCGTTAAACAATGGATTGAAAGTGCTGTGTCCGATACCAAAGTCAGCCTGGCGGGCGACTACTACACAGTCGAAGGCACCGTCACTGCCATTGAGAGTCTTTTAAAGACGGAGTACAACACCTACGGTAAGAGCAAACCCCTGTTCCCCATTGTCCCATATCTGATTTGAGCAGTGAACGAGGAAACGAAGGCCAACGCCCTTCGAACCCTCCAATACAGCATTCCCTCCAATCTTGTTGGTCATGTCGATATGGTCCAACCAACCACGTACTTTGGTGTCAAGCAATTCCGATCCACCGTGTCCGAGCACCATGCTATTGCAGACGACGAAAATAACATCGAGGCAGCACAGGCTGTGACAGGATGTACCGGCACGCGCATTACGCCTACCTGTCTTGCCAACTTGTACAATTTCGCGAATGCGAAGAACGAAACCATCGGACTTCTCGGAGTGGCAGGCTTCCTTGAGGAATATGCTATCAAGGCCGACTTTACTACGTTTCTCAACAACTTTGCGTACTTCGACAATAAAGCCAGATCTTTCACCTGCACGGGCGTCAATGGGGGAACCTGCCCAACGTCGCCTGCAGGAACCGAGGCCAATCTGGACGTTCAGTACGCGGGCAGCATCGCGAGCTCCGTTCCAATGACGTACTACAGCACAGCAGGCCGTGGAAAATTCGTGGGAACCGACACAAATACTAATGAGCCATATCTCGAGTTTCTGAACTACCTGCTGGCTCTTCCGGCAGCCTCTCTTCCCAACACACTCTCCATTTCCTATGGCGATGATGAGGGAACGGTGCCGCTTTCCTACGCGACAAACGCGTGCAACCTGTTCTCCCAGCTCGGAGCCCGTGGTGTTTCCATCCTCATCTCCTCAGGTGACTCGGGCGTAGGTACGACCTGCACGGTCAACAGCAAGACATCGTTCGAGACCGCCTTCCCGGCCAGTTGTCCGTGGGTCACAACGGTTGGAGGAACGACTGGAAACTCTCCTGAAAGTGCCTGGTCCTCTGGCGGTGGTGGTTTCTCTGAAATTTTCGGCCGCCCGGACTACCAGAACGCGACCGTGAACAAGTGGCTCGCATCTGACACCACCCACAGCGCCGTAACAAAATACTTCAACTCGTCTGGTCGCGCATACCCGGACATCTCTGCCCAGGCAACCAACTTCGTCATCGTTGCGTCCGGATCTACACAGTCCGTGTCTGGCACATCATGCTCAGCACCAACAACGGCCGGTATCTTCCAGCTGCTCAACAGCGCTCGAATTGCGTCGGGCAAGAAAGGCCTCGGGTTCCTTAATCCGTGGTTGTACAACACCGCCAGCACTGGATTTACCGATATCAAGAACGGCAAGATCGGAGGATGCAGCGGGGTCATCTCTGGAGCGGGATTCAGCGCAGTCGCAGGATGGGATCCGGCAACAGGCCTTGGTACACCCAACTATGAGGCTCTTCTCGCATTTGCCACTTCAACTGCATAGGGGTTTGACTCACAAGCTCTAGCAATGGAGTATTATCAGATGAACGTCGTGCAAACCCTGGCACAAGTCTCAGCCCCCATTGAGCGGGAGTGTAGATCAGACTTTTTAAGGTGAGCACACATAGTAGTGTCAACTTTCGGCTTATTGTGGTTATGGTCTGTAACAATAGGCAACATTGCTGCAGGGAAGTAAACTTGGAGCCATTTAGATCTGCCAGAGAATGTATTTCTATATATTGCTCAAGTGAATTAGAACTTAGGAAATTGCAGAATCTACAACGAAGCGCTTCCGAGTCTCAGCCTGGTGAGGTATCGCAATTACAGGAATCTCAAACCAACTAGTTACCAAACTTTACTGCAACAGTAAAGAAATACGACTGAGTAAGAATGAGTAGAACAAAGGTCAAGACTAAACAAGACTGGATTATGCAGCTGAATGCGGACTCTTTGTGCTGGCGCACGCACTTGAGTAAATGCCTTTGGGTTTGTTTCTACTCCTGCTGCTGCAACTACACCAATGGCGAATCTTGAAAGTAGGCTTGCCATCTCTATTGCACTGTTGTTTTGAGGTTCTCCGAACGGAACGCCATGAGTGTAAAGACCCTCATTGATTGTTTCCAGGTCCCAACCTAAATATTTACCCATGAAACTGCCCCGACAGTACGATTGCTTGCGCAGCCACGGCTGCGTTCGTGACTAATAGATAACGTAAGTGTATAGCGAGTGGGCCGGCTAAGCGAGTGGACCGCCTCAACAAGCCATTGGGCTGTCCCACCTTTAAACCTTAATTGTCGCGGTGTAGGAACAGCGCATATGCAGAAGGAATTGAAGGATTGAACTGAGGTTGTATTGTGTGAAGCTACGAACGGTATATCTACATAGGTGGCTGTAAACAGCGCTAGTGCAAAACAGGGAGTTGCCTCTCACCAAAGGTGAGGCGCGGGTTGCCTATGAGGCAAGAGACACGCAAACTGTGACACACCCCCTAGCTGCCGTAGGCTTAACAGCAGGGAGTCAACGACAGCTAATCAGTGTTAATTTAGTAGGTGATAGATAGCATCAATGTTATTGTTGTCAGCCTGACGTAGGCCCTTCAGGCGCTTAGTAATATTAACAAGACTAAGTTAGCAGATAAACTTAGCAAACTTCTGCTTAGGTAGAATCTTCGTGAGTCTGTCAGCAGGCATGTAATTAGTAGGTACCTATTTAATGTTAATACGTGAGGCAGTGACCTCCTGTTAGATCTAGAGCTAATAGATATTGACGTGTTTAACTTTTGTGTGAAGCTTGTTGTGCTCCTTCGTGACAATACAGACAGTCTGCTAGTTGTTACACTAGATTGTAGGTATACAGTCAAGCGTGAGGTTAATGCTAGCAAAGAAACGCATCTACTCTTCTATCTGCGAGGCTGCGAGGGAGAGTAAGAGCAATTCAGACTCTGTGGTTAATTTTGTGACTGTGCGCTGGACAGTCAATTTCTAGTTAATCATGAGTCCTCCAAATTTGAAGGCGTATCCCTGAGAGCTCTGGCGAGTCTCAGGCTCGTCAGCGTACGAGGCATCAGATGATCCAAAGAAGAGAGGATCGCGGTATGTAGGATTGTCAGTGAGATACTCGGCCATGTCGTGCGCGCTGGCAGAGGCTTCAAGGGCGAGAGCCTTCGTGCTGAGCAGGTAGCGCCAGGTCTGGCGGATCTTTGAGATGTGAGACTGTCCTGGGTTGATGAGGTGGCAGGCAAAGACAACGTGCGTTCGGGCGACGTCAGGTCTACCCCAGACAGCAATGTATGCAAGAGAACCAATAAGCTGCTGGTAGAGCTTCGTACGAGCAGTATCAGTCTCCTCAGTAGACTGTGGCAGCCAGTTCTCCGTCAGTGGGACGTCTAGAGCCTTGCCCACAGCCTTAATGCTGAATCGAGCGCACACCTTGTTAATAAAAGCGTCTTAGACTAGCTAGGTCTTGTGCAGAGCTCGGTCGCGGACGATGCAGATACTGAGAAACTAGGTAAGGTCTCCTATTGCTTTGATGTTGTATAGGTCTACCAGATCCTTCTTAAAGGACTGGTGGTGATAGGCGTTTAATTGATGAAACGCCATAACAATGTCGTCAACATAGACAAATATGATAAGCTAGCAGCTTGTATATAGGCATGGGAAGCCGTTAACTGGCTTTAGGCCTAGTTTTACAAGCTGTTGACGTAGCTCATTGTACCATAGGATTGGTGACTCCTTCAGGCCGTACAGGGCGCGGAGCACCAGCATGATCTCGCCTTCGGTATGGCGGAAGGCCTCAGGCGTTTCAGCGTATAGCTTGCGGTTGGTTTTTGCGTTCAAGAAGGCAGTAGGGACGTTGTACTGCTTCAGTTCAAGATTAAAGTAATTAGCAATTGCAATAAGAGCGCGAAAGTTGCAGATAGCAAGTGTAGCAGCGTATGTGTTGTCTATTAGAGCTTAGAGGTCTCCTCAGACAACAAGTTAAGCCTTAAACTGTAAGAGATATCCATCTTTATCTGTCTTGTAAGTAAAGACCCACATTAGCAGTAGTACCTCACTATCTGCAGTGGCCTTTAATTGCTCTGTCTGTCTAAAGACGCCTTTAGCGCGTAGATCTTGCCATTTAATCTCCATAACACGTTGGAATTAATTGCCGAACATGTGTGTATCAAGACAGTTTTCTGACTTTGGCAGAGGCGGCAGCTGTGACTGATAGATTCGTGGTACTTTATCTGCGCTGGCTGAGGCTCTGTTAGAGAGGATCTCAGTTAAGAACGCTTGCAGGTAATTAACAAGAGGCTTAGGTCCCATCCTCGCTGCGTAGATCTGTACTGCAAAGTTGTTCAGATCCCTTAGCTTTCAATTGCGCTTGCCTAAGACAATTAGGTTTGTGTTAGTTAGATCAAGATTAACGTCCTGTGGCGCTTTCTCGCCTCGTCGGCGGTAGCCCTTAGGAACCATGTGTATTGTGTCCTCCTCAGGTAATGTAGAGGTTAGCAGTGTGTCGTCAGATTCGAGTGCGTCGTCAGCCATCTCACCCCCCAACTGGGAGCCTCCAGCTGTCGGAGCTGAGGTCACAGGTGTTGTTTGGCGGCTGCGTTGGCGCGCGGTCAGCAGGTCGTCGATGCTGACATCATCATCCTGCGGCATCTCTGGATATTCGAGTAGCTCGATCACCTCCTTGATCACTGGTGTAGAGGCGTAGCCATCCATTCTATCAAAGAATAGCGTAGGTTCGAATACGACGTCGCGTGTGACAATAACAGTGTCTTTTGTAGGCAGCCATATGCGGAAGATATTAGTGCCTTGGTAGCCAACAAGGTAGCCGATGAGAGTACGCGATTCAAGCTTGTTGGCAGCTCTCAGGTCGCGGTTGTAGACATAGGCGCGACAGCCAATAGGCCTCATATGAGCGACGAGTGGCTTTCATCCCCATACAACCTCGTACGGCGTCTTCCAGCCTAGTGCTTCTGTTGGCGTACGATTGAGGATGTACGCGGCGGTGCGATACATCTCCTGTGATAGGTTCTTGGGCAGGTTGGCGTGTATGCGCATAGCGCGAGCTCGCTGCGTAAGGACTCCGCCTGCGCGTTAAATAAGCCCATTTGGTTCCTTTGTACCAGCTGGGGCCGGCTTGTATAGCATGCCCAGCTCTTCTGTAGTGTTGATAAGATTGTTGCTAAATCCTTTCTTGTTGTCGCATCGGATGGCGACTACGTCCGCGTTGTACACACGTTGGATTCGACAGATCAAGGCCATGAACCAACAAGTAAGTGTTGGCTTGTCCTTTCGCTTGATTGTGGCGATCTCATGCCACTTTGAGTACTCGTCTATAGAGTGTAGGGCGTACTTGCTGCCGTTAATACACTCCTCTCCCACAGGGATAATGTAGATTAAGTCTATTGCAATTCAAAAGAACAGTCGTTGTGCGCAGCTCTCAGCCAGGTGTCTTAAGATAATGTGAGTCATTTAAGCTTCAGTGCAGGTCTAGCAGAGACAGTCTATGTAGTCTCCTGTTAGTTGGACACCAGTAACGTTTGATTCAAGCTGGTCAACTGCCTTTCAACCTGGGTGGCCCCAAATTTGATGAGCAGCGCGTCGATCAACGACGTTGGCAGGCTTTGGCGCGTACGACGGGCGATATGATGCCCCAAACGTACTCAGCGGTGTGTTAAGAAGTGACAGTGGTGGTCGGCGTGATGGCTCAGCATCAATCAGCCAGTGTCCTCCATTGTATTTGAGTTGTGCGATAACGTTTGATGTCTGTTGCATGTAGAGGACGTCGCGGCCAGAGTCAAAGTGGATTGACTCTGTACGGCAGCGTGCGAGTCCTAAGACGCTTGTAAGGAAGCCTTCGACGTACGCGACGTGCGTTAGCTCCAGCTTTAGCTGTCCATGTGGTGTACAGACGACGAGTTCCATCGTTCCCCACGCGGTGATGAGGATACAGGTATTGCCAGCGTTGATAGAACGACGTTGTGGATTGTCACTCATCCTCCTCCAGCCCTTCTATGCCTCTGTGTTGACGACGTGCGTATTAGATCCTGGATCAACAATCCATTAATTGCGTAATTCAGTCTGAGTGATTTCATCAACAGCCATTGTTGTAAGAGATCCTGTAGGCTTAGTGTAAGCGTTAATAGCAATAACAACCTCCTCATCGTGGTTAACTTAATTGTGCCTGTCGTGACTGTTGTGGCAGTTGTGGCTGTCGTGGCCGTCGTGCAGAGGCTTGAGCAATGGGCCAGTCAATATCACGAACGTTTCAGTGTTAACAGGTGGCTCGCTGTCATTAACTCGCAGTGATCTAGTGTTCTAAGGTTGGCGGGTTAACTATCTTGCAAGAGCAGTCTTGATGCGCGCGTTAATCTTAGAGTCCTTCTGCGCTTCCTCTACCTTGCGTACAGCCTCATCTGCAGGCTGATAGGTCTTTGGACGTGCTAGGTGGCGTGGATTCAGGATGAAGCAGTTAGTGTACCAATGCTGCTTCCCACATACGCAGGTAGGAATTAATTGTGCACTGTCACAGCGACCGCGACTAGTTGATTGAGTCTCAGTTGGCTTCGTGATTCTGAGCTCAGCAGCAGAGACTGCCAGGCCTGTAGATTGAGGCTTCGTGCGGCGTAGGTATGTGGTCATCTCAGCGACGTATGTCTCAAGAGATGAGATCTCTGCAGTAGTGCCACGCGCTTCATGTTTGAAGATCTCGCGTAGGCAGGACGTAGCATATTCCTGATCCAGAGCCTTGCAGGCGATTAGAAAGTCCTCTTGCGGTCAGTTGCCGTCAGTTTCCGGCAGCGTGATTGATTTGCCTTGGGCTGTGATGTATACCCAGTCAGTGAGCCATTGCTCGACCTTCTTTGCAGCTCGTGGAGCAGTCTTGAGAGTGTTGTACTTGTCAGCAAGCTCGCAGCGGCGAGTTGCGTCAGTTGGACAAAGGAACTTCTTAAGAGCGACCAGTTGGTTGTAGGGTGTCTCGTGATCCTTGATTAGGTGGATGTGGCGTACAGCAATTGTCTTGCTGATGTCTGTGTTCAGGTCGGCTAAGGCCTTCTTCTGGGTGCGGTACTCAGAGCGGCGGCGCTCCCATTGATCACATTCCCATCAGTAAGACTCTCGGTCGTCTGCAGTCAGGTCAGAGAGCCTAGTAGCTCCAGCCCAGTAGTCGATGAGTTGAGGCTCAGTAGCCTCCGTCAGCTCAGGGAGAAGCTCCCTAGCTACGTCAGGATTAATGTACTGCCAGAGACTGTAGCGGTTGGCAACGTCTTGGCGAATGAACAACCAGGTAAACCAGTCGTCAGGTGTGTTAAGTATGACAGTGACACGCGTCACTGCGGGATCAGACTTAGCAGCCATTGCAGAGGCTGTAGTCGTGTATGAATGGATCCAGGCAGAGATCCAGGCAATGTGCGTCGTGGGTGGACGCGGTAACAGGTGCGCTGTGGTAGACGCGGTATAGCAACATGTGACTCAAGTAGAGTGACGATTGCAGCAGCAGGTGAGAACAATCCTAGGTTGCAGCCGGGCTCATAACTGTCGCGGTGTAGGAACAGCGCATATGCAGAAGGAATTAAAGGATTGAACTGAGGTTGTATTGTGTGAAGCTACGAACGGTATATCTACATAGGTGGCTGTAAACAGCGCTAGTGCAAAACAGGGAGTCGCCTCTCACCAAAGGTGAGGCGCGGGTTGCCTATGAGGCAAGAGACACGCAAACCGTGACATTAATAGACTAACCACTTAACCTTAAATCACTCTTAAAAGAAGATAGAATTAAGCTTGCACTTTAAGCAACTAGGAAGCCCTAGGAACTAAGCGTGCAACGCGCTGTAGTAGTCTATAAGGTGTTAAAAACAACCCTCTAATAGTAACGCGCTAGGACGCAGTTAACACGCAATACCTACCCTAAATTAGCAAATCTTTAGAAGATAGAGCAGAGGGCGCTTGTACAGTATATTAGGAAGCTAGATTCCTAAGGATTTGCTCTAACGTACTCCACAAGCATGCCGGTCACCCAAGTGTACCGGTCACTTTTGCCAAGACCACACCAAACTTCACTCTACTAACAATGCCTCAACGCAGCAACATGAAAAAGCTCTCTAATGAAGCAGACATACAGCTTGCTCTCCAGGCTATCCAACAAGACGCGACGCTCTCTCAGCGACGCGCTGCAGCAATCTACAACGTCTCTCAAAGCACGCTTAGTGACTAACTTGCTAGAGCCACCCCACGCTGCGACTACACACCTAATACTATAAATCTTACAAAGAACAAAGAGGAGGTAATTGTCCAGCACGTGTTGAGGCTAGACGAGCGAGGATACTCGCCCCGGCTTGCTGATGTAGAGGATATGGCCAATTCTCTGCTTGCTAAGCGCCACCAGCCCTATGTTGGCAAGAACTAGGCTGCTAACTTTGTTAAACGTCAGCTAGAGCTTAAAGTCAAATTTAATCACAAGTATAACTATAAGAGAGCTCTGTGTAAGGATCCTAAGGTAATTAGGGACTAGTTCTAACTAGTAGAGAATACTAAAGCTAAGTATAGTATACAAGATAAAGACACCTACAACTTTAACAAATCTAGCTTTATAATAGGCGTTATATTAACAGGAGCTATTGTTACAGGCTCTAAGCGTTAAGGGAGACTAAAGACAGTGCAGTAGGGCGACTAAGAGTGGACCAGCATCATCCAAGGCATCTGCGCGAAGGGCTGGTCTATCCCACCCTTTATTATCTTCTCTAGCAAGCACCACCTCTCTACCTAGTATAAGGAGCCTAGTATACCTAACAACTAGGTTCTTAATGTCTCTAACAACAGCTAGACTAATAACAAGCTTAGAGTTAAGTAGTTAAAGCACTTTAATAAGCACACAAAGGCGCGCACTGTTGGCAGCTATTAGCTGCTTATTCTAGACGGCCACAAGAGCCACAACTTAGTCGAATTCCACCAGTCCTGCAAGGAACACAAGATTATTACCCTGTGTATGCCTCCACACTCGTCGCACCTACTACAGCCACTTGACATAGGCTGTTTTTCTCTGTTGAAGAAGGCCTATGGCCGCCAAGCTAAGTGGCTAATGCGCAGCAAGATTACGCGTATCACTAAACTTGAGTTCTTGCTGTGCTTTAAAGCAGCTTTTGACGCCTCAATCATAGAGAGTAACATCTAGGGAGGATTTAGAGGTGCTGGCCTAGTCCCACTTAACCTAGAGGCTGTGCTATTAAAGCTTAAAGTACAGCTGCGCACGCTAACACTACCTACTGTGGACAACAGTACGTGGGAGTCTAAAACACTAAGCAACACCCTAGAATTTAGGTCTTAATTAAAGCTAATTTAAGAGAGGATTTAGAGACATGCTAATAGCTTGCCAACGTCTATAGTTAACGCTCTTAATCAGCTCACTAAAGGCGCAGAGCTAATGGCGCATTTACTAGTTTTAGTGCGCAACCAGGTTGCTAACCTACAGGCAGCTAACAAGGCTGCCACACGTTGTAAATCACACAAAAGGAAGCAAGTACAGCAAGAAGGGACTCTAACCTTTGCTAAGGGAGTGCAGCTAACTACT